GCTTGAGATGTTTTTATTTCTACTTTTTATTTCAAAATTCAAAAACAAAAATAAAACAAACAAAAGAGCTAATTATGATGCAACGAAGCCACCTGCCAGCCCTTCCTCCTCCTCTTGTATTAATAACTTCTGAGTTTGGTGTTTCTTACTCACATTCATATTTTTATACTTTTAGCACTTATTACTGTATCTGTAAATAAAATATGTAATTATTTTACAGGTTTAAAACCTTTATATGCACAGCCTCTTACTGTATATACTGTTTTGCACCTTGCTTGTTTGTTGAACATTTACGTTTTTGAGAGAACATGGTCTCCTTCGTTAACTCCTGAGATAAAGCTCAGACGTCAACCCAGGCTGGTTTCAGGAGGTCACCTCTGATTCCTTCTGGCCCCTCACCTTTCTGCCTAGGTGTCCATTCTTCATCGGAATCCTCAGTGTCATCCACATGGAGCTTGGCCTGCCTTCGGTGACACATGAAAGCTGGTCGAGGGGCTCTGAGACCTGGAAAGAAGCTAAATCTTTGTCCTAAAAGGGAAGAGGTGAGAGGAAGAACAAAGGGTGGTGGCAATGGAAAGCACCACAAAGCCAGTGTGGCTCAGCATGGGCCGGGAGAGTCTTGAACAAGGTCAAGATGTGAGCTCTGCATGACTAGTGCCGACACTCAGCCATGCACTGACAAAAAATAAAAAAGAAGAGGAAGAACAAAATTTCCCCTGCAGATTTGTCTCCATACAGAAGGGAACTGTGGGCAGATGCAGCTGCCTAAGAGAGAGCCAAAATAATACGGGGACAGAAGACCTGTGTTATATTTTGCAGGCTGGTCTGCAACCAGCACTTGCAGTTACCTAAATTAATCGGCACATTATAGTTCCTTTTCACATTCCTATAGGGAATTTTCTCCAGTTCTCCCATCTCTGCCCATTCTTCCTTGGAGAAGTATATGGAAATGTCTTTGAAAGCATCTTTAGCCTAGAGAAAATAACATAGTTCATTAGTGATTTACTGCACACATCACAACATCGAGTGGGGCCTTTTCTTCTGCCTTGTAATCCTAACAAGCAGAACATAGCCTGGGGTCTTGGGGTGGTCTCTGTGAAACAAGGATAAAGACGTTCGTTACCTCCCTCCCCAGATTGTGTCCTGTTTGAGAGAACACAGCGTTTTCCTAGCTCTCCCCAACACAGAGAGTTTGATTCCAATGTCCTTTTCTCCTTCACGTCCCAGACAGGACCAATTGTCCCCATTGCATGCACATTCACAGCCAGGGTCACACAGAGTGGCAGCCCACAAGTCTGCGGCCCTCCAGACACCAGCTGCTTGTCACTAGTACCCCCTCTCCATCCTTCGTACAAATCCTTCTTGGAGCCTTGCTCTACTTCCCCCACCTCTCACCGTGGGCTTCCGCCCTGTTCTCCCTGCATCTCCCTCAGGGTTCTCCTCCGGGGAGCTGTTGGAGCTCATGGTGCTGGCACAGGATTGCAGGCCCTGCTCCACCTCCAAGGCTGGGATGGTCCCCTGAGTCTCCCAGCTGCAAGGCCAAAGCTCCTGTGGAAAGAGAGGGCGCTGACAGGGGGCCACAGCCCAGACCACTGCCCAGAGCCAAGCTCTGTCTTCTCCACTTGGCCGGGGTGTCCAGACCAGGAAGATGTGGGGACCCTGCAAGGACTGGAGTGTGTTGGGGAGGTCCGGGGGCTATTGACAGGATGGGGGGGTTCTCTGCTGGCCACGACAGACCACCTAATGTAAGCTGTTTTGTTTCAGTTCCCCTGCATCTTGACGCATTTGAGGAAAGGTGGCAAAGGTGACTGAGGGTCAAGGCTAGGGGTCTTCAAGGGAAGTCCTGAGGTGTGAGGGCCAAGGGAGTCCCATGGAGACCTTGAGGCCCCCTGACTGGTGGGACTCGGGTTACACTGACCAGCGGGGCTCTCCTCCAGCGAGAGGAAATGAACATTTCTCATAGGAAGGCTTCCGGGATCTCCACCAGGAGATTCTGGAAAACTCTGGGACTAAAGCAGCCTGGATCTCTAAGGAGCAGCAATCCCTCAGGCTGAGGAGATTTGGGGTCTCCAAGGCCAATGAGATTTAGGGTCTGTCAGGCTGAGGTTCTGGGGGTTTCTCAGGTCGAGGGGATTTGGGGTCTCTCAGGCTGATAGTATTTGGGGTTTTTCAGGACAAGATTTTGGGTCTTTCATGCTGAAGAGATTTGGGATGCTCAGGTTGAGAAACTTTGGGATTCATCAGGTAATGGGAATTTGGGGTCTCTCAGGATGAGAGGATGTGGCATTTTTGAGGCTGAGGAAACTCGGGGTCTCTCAGGCTAAGGAGATTTGGGGCCTCTCATTAGGGGGCATTAGGTTCTCTGACACTGACGTTATTTGGGGGTCTTTGAAGCTGAAGGACGTTTCCAGGTTGAGTAGGATCTCTGAGCTCGGGGAAATTCGGTCTCTCTGTGGCTGTGGTATTTAGGGTTTCCCAGGCTGAGGGAGTTGGGGTGCCCTAGGCTGAGGGGAATTGTGATTCCTCAGGCTTAGGGTATTTGGGCTCTAAGCATTAGGGGATTTGGCGTTCCTGTGGGTGGAGGGATTTGAGGTGTCTGAAGCTGAGGTGCCTCCGGGTCTCAGGCCGAGGGGGTTTGAGGTTGGTCCAGGTTAGCGCATTCGAGGTCTCTTGGGGATGAGGGGATCTGGGATTTCCCAGGCTGAAATTTGAAGGTCTCGGGCTGAAGGTTTACAAGGGTTTCTTACTGCACGGCAAAGACTTCCCGAGTTCCGGTCAGTCTCCCTGGCTCTCTCCTGTCTCGCTGCCCACCCTGGCCTGGCGCCCGCTCGGATCCTCTCAGGAGGGAGACGACCGTTGAAACGGCCACGCAGCCGCCGGTACCACCAAACCACCTATCAGAGCTGTGACCCAAACGCTCCCGCCAATGAGCGATCAGGAGGGGATTAAGGGGCGGAGAGTAGGGCGGAACCAAGCCTGTCAGTCACAGGCTCCCCTCAGTCCTAGGCTCGGGCGTCAGGGCGGGACCTGGTCTTTCCCGCCTTGTGGACGATCCCGCCCAAAACCTCAGGCATTGGCCACTCTGCGTACTGCGCATGCGTCAGTCAAGAAGCCTCGCGTCCTGAAGAGCGGTCTCGCAGGTCGTGACTGGCCGCACAGGCTTGACATGAGGCAGAGATTCGGCTCTCAGCGCTAGGGTAGCCTTGCCCCATGGTCCTGCACAAAGTGGATCTCAAAGGGGTTAGGGTTAGGGTTCGGGTTCAGGTTCGGGTTCGGGTTCGTGTTGAGAATGGGGTTCAGGTTCTGGTTCGGGTTTAGGGGTTAGGGTTCGGGTTCGGGTTCGGGTTCGTTTTGGGAATGGCATTCGGGTTCTGGTTCGGATTCGGGTTTGGGTTCAGGTTAGGGATCGGGTTCGGGTTAGGGTTTAGGGGTTAGGGTTTGGGTTCTGGTTTGGGTTTGGTTTCGGGTTCAGGTTAGAGTTCGGGTTCGGGTTCAGGTTCGGGTTCGGGTTTGGGTTCAGGTTCAGGTTCAGGTCAGGGTCAGGGTCAGGGGTCAGGGTCGGGGTCGGGGGTTATGGGTCAGGGTCAGGGCTTAGGGGTCGGGGTCAGGGTCAGGGTTGGGTCAGGTTCAGGGTCAGGTCAGGTTAGGGGTCAGGTCAGGGTCAGGGTCAGGATTAGGCATAGGGGTAGGGTCAGGGGTAGGGGTAGGGTCAGGGTCTGGGTTAGGGGTAGGGTCAGGGTGAGGGTGAGGGTGAGGGTCAGGGTCAGGGTCAGGGTTAGAGGGTGAGGGTCAGGGTCAGGGTCAGGGTTAGAGGGTCAGGGTCAGGGTCAGGGTTACGGTTAGGGTCAGGGTTAGAGGGTTAGGGTCAGGGTCAGGGTCAGGGTTAGAGGGTCAGGGTTAGAGGGTTAGGGTTAGGGTTTAGCATCAGGGTTAGGGTCAGGGTCAGGGTCAGGGTTAGGGTTAGGGTCAGGGTCAGGGGTAGGGGTAGGGTCAGGGCCAGGGTCAGGGTCAGGGTCAGGGTTAGGGTCAGGGTCAGGGTCAGGCCAAGCAGCTCTCATATTTTCATGTCATTTACTGTAGCTTGTTCTTGACCAAGCATGAAGGTGCCACTCCAGCAGCATATGAGGCCAGCTCTGGAGCCCTGAGCACTGAGTCACACCTCTGTGCTCCCATGTGAATGAGTCCTCCCCTATATTGACTTATATGCTGTCCCTTGTCTTGCTGGCTTGACATCCGCAAAAATCCATGCCCACACATATTACCCCTGTTGGGAGCCTGAAGCCCCACACCCCTTCTTGTGAGACCACTCCTA